GGGTACCTGAGCATAGTCCGAGGGTGGCCCATGATGCAGAGACATGCGACGGCGCAGTAGGTGTATGCACCATGGGCCTCTGTTCCGGGACTCCCTGAGAACCCTCCTTCATACGTTTGGCCTAGAGAAGTTAGTATATAGCCAAAGAGTCAAAGTAATAGAGAGAGAGACGCACATCTAGCGAGGTACTCTGGCAGGCCGCTGGTGAAGAGGGAGAGTCCCGCCTTGCGCGCCGGAGCATCGAGTGGCAACTCCAGTGGGAGATCCAGCAGGGCAATCATTACCATAGCGCAGTACGCTCCTCTGAAGAAGTTAGTAAACTCACTTATAAGAAAATAAGAAGAAGAAGAAGATAGACTGACCGGACATCCTGCTCGCCTCCAACGCTGACTTGAAACCCGCCGTCCGCCTGCTTGAGCTGACCCAGCCATCTCCAACTACACCATTAGTATACAGAATAAGTGGAAGTAGAGAGAGAGAGAGTACCATGCAAGTCTATCGATCAAGGTAAACGCCTCCTGTCCACCCACCATGGCCAGGCTGAGGGTAATGGCATACGAGGAGGCACAATGCGCCGTCTGTCCATGTCCGCCGCCAAACCCCCCTGAGCCACTCTGCATCGGCGCCGCAGTAGCAACCAGCCTACACCATCAACAAATATACTATATTCAATGCAAAAGATACAACGTACCTCCGTCTAAAACCACTGACGTCCTCTCCCAGCAAGGCCAGCCCCGTCAGCGCCCAGTAGACCATCCACGGCCTGCTCGCGTCCAGCCCGACAAAGCGCCCCGGGTACTCCCCCAGCGCATCCAGCAGGTACTCTACATGCAGCTCTCTGGCCAGCGACTGGACACCATGGCCGTTGAGGGGCAAGCCGGTCTCCTCGCCGCGCAGAAAGGGAACGCATCTGCCGACTACTTCTGCCTGGGAGCGGGAGGTGTCTGTCTGCAGCTGGTCGAGGAGCGGCGGCTGCGTGGCGAAGAGGGCGGGTATAGCCATGTTTTGCTTTTTCTGCTGCTGCTGCTTCTTCTTCTCGATGGTCCTTTTGGTGCTGGTGATGGACGAGGGAAAGACGACTTTTCTGGTCGGCATGGGTATCTTATAGCACTCTCATGGCGGCCATCTATATTGTACATTGTCTTGTGGGTGTAGATATTGTTGTGTTGGTATTGTCATCTTAGTAAGAAGACCAACCACCACTAAAGGCTGTCACGGCTGCGGCCCGCCAGCTGCAAGTCATGCTCGACTCTCCAAGACTATCCAGACTATCACTACCTCTCGTCCTCTTCTCTATCTGATCGGCTAAAAGAAAACAAGGCCTCGCACAGTCCTCTAGCGACTGCTTCGTACGGGCAAAGGCGAGCCCCGTCGACTATCGACCTCGACCTCACCGCCGCCAAAGTAGCGGTCCTCTTCTCTGTCTCTCTCTTTTGTCTTCTGCCTCTCTCTATGCATGTCTCTGTCTCTGCTCGTTTGCATCTGCGTCCCAGCCACCTCTCCAACATCTTCTAACATCTTCTTCTCTAACATCTTCTTCTTCTCTAACATCATCGTCGTCTCTTACTATTGCCTGCTGGGAACAAGGATGACGAGGCCGTGCATGGGACCAGGGGGTGCGTGGCCGTAGGACGTCGCCAGAGAGCACACGGGGCAGCAGCAGGAGGCAAGACCGTCGGAAGGCGGGAGAGTAGCGTGAGTGGCAGTAAGCCAAGGCCGTGGCAGTGGCGGGGAAGCCTTCACCGCTGCTTTGGCCGTCTCTCTCTTGCGCAGTTGAAGTCTTTCTCGTGGGGAAAAGAGGAAGAAGCAGCAGGACAGGCAAAAGTCAAGACTTCTTCTTCTTCTTCTTCTTCTTCTTTTCATCCTCGCTTCCTCTGACTTACTTCTTCTCATCCTCTCCGTCAAGTGACATCCATCGAGTGGACTGAGAGACTCCCGAGCTGAGCTGAGCTGACCCTGCTTGGCCTGACGACTGACGACTCACGACTGACGACTGACGACTGACGACCCGACGGAGAGACGGAGACCCAAGACCATGGCGGACGTCGAGCTGACTGCGGACGGCCTCGTTGGCCTCGACTACAGTCCCAGGGCCTACCTCTCGCATTCCTGGCCAGAGGAGACGACGGCCACTACGACATCAACAACTTCAGCAGCGACGACAGGGACGAGTGCAACGGCGACAACGGCCTTTGAGGCTGCTGACCCGGGGCTCGTGGCGGAATGGCACTTTCAACGTCTCCAGCCTCACCTCCAGTTCCACCACCAGCATCAGCATCAACAGCATCATCAGCAGCATCACCAGAGTCAACCGGACTACTCTTATACCACGATGCCGCTGCAGTCGCCCATAGGACTGCCCATGCTGCCCGTCACAGAGACCGAGGTCCATCACCACATCGACACTACCACTAGCATGATGGACGGCTCGTACATCCCCCTCTCCACCCCCGTCGACATGGTCCCCTTCACCTGGCATGACTTCCACGCTGAACTCGGTGCTTTTCCTCTCGACAGCACAGCTGCTGCTGCTGCTGCTGCTGTCACTACGGCTGCGAGCATGAGTGGCACATACCAGGCTGAGACCGGAAGCTCCCCCGTGGACAGCTACCTCGAGGTCCGCTCTCTCACCAGCGCCAGCAGCGACAACGGATGGACGGCCATAGACAGAGCTCACTCCATAGACTCGTCGTCCTTTCATGACCATCACCACAGTCACCAGCAGCAGCACCATCCCATCTTCATCAACCCCAGCCAGACCCTGCACAACCGCAGCCTGTCAGAGTCCTCCTTCTCAGACCACCACTCCCTCCACTCCCGCAACTCCTTTGGGTCCTTTGTAGACGTCTCCCTCTCGCCACACATGCACTCCCCGGGCTCAGAGTCGGCGCTAGAGTTCGACTACGGCCTCCCTTTACCCCGTCGTGTATCATGCGACCTCGTCTCCCATGGCTCCATCTCCCCGACAGCAGTCAGTCCCATCGCCATGGTCAGACCCATGCCTGTCCTCACAAAGAAGCAGAACGCCTCTTCCTCCTCGCCTTCACGGTCGCCCAAAGCATCGTCTGCTTCTGGATCTGGATCGGGGGCTCATGTCTCTGCTGCTGGATCGCCGCCGAGCAGAAAGCCGTCGCGCAAGAGTCCTATTGCGGCCAAAAATGCAGAGACCAAGGTCCGCAAGCAGAGCACCGGAGGTAAAGACGGTAGTGGCAACGGCGAGAAGAAGATCGGTAAGCGGAAGGGCCCGCTCCGGCCTGACCAGCGGAAACAGGCCAGCGAGATCCGCAAACTCAGAGCCTGTCTCCGCTGCAAGTTCCTCAAGAAGACGGTAAGTCTATCTCTTTCTTCATTCTTTCTTCCTTTATCTTTATGTTCTTTGCTAATATAATTCCTGTAGTGCGACAAAGGAGAGCCGTGTACGGGCTGCCAGCCATCGCATGCCCGGCTCTGGCAGGTCCCCTGCACCCGCATCGACATCAAAGAGATCGGCTACTTCATGAAAGACTGGAAGGCCGACTACGAGCGTCATGTGACCCTGGGCTTCTCCGTCGGCAACATCACCGGCTTCTCCGACCAGGAACGCACCCTCTTCATCACCCACGGCTACGGCCAGGTCCTCCCCGTCAAGGCCAGAGAGGTCTATGTCCACGATGAAGAGTGCTTCAACCTCGACTGGGTCGAGACCATGAGCCGGCCCGCCAACCACTACGACCTCAAGACCGCCAAGCTCTCCGCCGGCATGGAAGGCATCTCCACCGCCATGCTCTCAGACTACCTCGACCGCCACATCGACGGCAACGGCAGCTACGAGGGATTCGTCGACGAGTACTTCGCCGGCACTCCCTTTCTCACCCAGATGCTCAAGACTGCCTACCGCTTCTACTTCCGCACCAAGCTGCCCGTCATCCGCAAGGCCCTCAAGCTCACCCTCGCCTACAACCTCACCATGCACGTCACCATGGTCGAGGGACTGGGCGAGCTCGAAGAAGAAGCCTTCTCGGGCAAAGTCGAGGACTCCGACAGCCACTACAGGGGCAAAGTCATGGCTCCCGTCATGATAAACTTCCAAGTCAAGTGCGCCATGGCAAACATGTGGCGCGAGCTCCAAAAGGACGTCCTCGAGGAACTCTCCGCCCTCTACTCCAGCGTCTACAGCGGCGACAAGCTCAAGAACTGGCCCATCATCTTCATGCTCGCCACCATCCTGCTCGCCGTCTGGGAGGAAATGCAGTTCGACTGCCACTACCGCGTCCAGGATCCCGTCGCCGTCACCAAATTCTGCAACGACATGGAGTCCATCCCCGTCGGTGTCATCGTAGGCTTGTTCCAGGCCATTTCGCAGAAGCTTCCCGCCTTCACGGACTGGGACACCGCGCAGCACCAGCAGATCTTCAACTTCAACTCGGACGTCTGTGCGGCCATGACAGAGGTGCGTGGTCATGTACGGCAGTACGAGTCCTATCTGCGCGGACGCAACGAGACCTCCGTGTTTGACCGGGAAGACTTTGACTGCCTTTCGAACAAATTCGTTAGTCGTTTGGTGATACGTGCCAATTGACTAGCCGACTCTGACGATCGGGGGCCGCGCGACAAGCGTGAGCGACGCCGGAAATGGGGCTGGGTCGGCGAGCGGCCCCCCGCGAGAGTGAAAAAGATGAAACTTGCCGACCTCGAGATGCGCAGGGGTGTTCTCGTCTCGTAGCACTCCACCTTTTAACCCTCTGATCGATTTACTTACGGATGATGATGAACGAAGTCCTGTTTTATGATGATCATGATGATGAACCGTCTTGCGTTTCGTTCCGTTGCATCCCCCCGTCTACCCCCTTATAGCACTGTTGACCGTTTCCCAGCCAGTCATACACAACTACCTAGATGAGAAGCCCTTCTCATCACGCATCACGTGTCACGATTTAATCCGTCATTCTTTCACGACCCTCTACGTCTTGTCTATTTCTACTCATCTTGCAAGTCCAGTTTTCTATCCACCTCACGGGATATATGTGTACTGTTATCTTACTCCTGCTGTTCGTCGGCTATTTGGTTATCTCTTTTCCTCTTTGCTTTCCTACTTGTTTTTTTTACCTTTCACTCCCCGTCGCCTTCGCCTCTGCCCATGCGTAGGCTAGACGGGTCGAGTTGAACCCCCCATACACAATCCTGAAACTGGTCTATCCTGTCCTGATCTTGAGGCTTCACCTTTTTAATCCTTCTTATTCTTCACCTTGCTGTGTTTTTTGACTATTGCCTTTTTTTTACTGTTTGCGTTCAGTTTGATTCCCGACTGACGAAGAGATGAGAAAAGAAAAATTTGGTCCTGATGCGGATCGATGAACGATTTGATTTACTTATCTGCCTACTTACCTACTTATGATCTGAGATGAAGTGAGAGAAAGAAGAATTGCTTTTATTTTTATTTTTTTGGAGTTATTTAATAATGATTAAATCTTGCTATGGATAACTACTCACTTATATAACTGCCTGCTGATGTATTTACGCGGCCACACATACTGACTTTCCCTCCTTGTCTTACTCTCTTGCTTCCCTAGCATATTGCATCTCGGGTCCTAGCTATCTCTGCATCAATCAATGTTCACTTCCATAATACTGACTTACTACTGACTTACTACTTGCTTCACTTCGGCGTCTTTGAAGTCATGCCACGTGACCTCTACGTCATCTGCCGAGGCTGAAGCCTGGCGGTGGCTTGTTTTGCTGACTCATCACTTCTCGACATCTGATTGGTTCTCGCACCTTCCAGCAACTTCTGCCTCCCCTGGCTTCCGCTTTCGGCCTTAGCGCGGGCAGTCACCGCCCCTCTCCGCAAAGGCGCAGCCGCCCTATAAAAGGCCCGCCCACCGCCTGCTATGACTCCCTTTTTTCCTCTTCCTTACAACCCCATCGAGCATCAGGCATCAGGCCACTTCTTGACAACAAACCTCAGTGCCGCCAACCCCCGCCAGCCAGCCATCATATACTTCTACACTCCTTGCTCTCGTTTCAACCCATAGACGTCCATCACCATGCAAATTTTCGTCAAGACACGTAAGTTAACTCAGCAGACAGCATCGTTGCAATGTTGTGATGTCAGAAGCTCGATGCTAACGGTTAGCAGTCACCGGCAAGACTATCACCCTCGAGGTGGAGTCCAGCGACACTATTGACAACGTCAAGACCAAGATCCAGGACAAGGAGGGCATCCCCCCAGACCAGCAGCGCCTGATCTTTGCAGGAAAACAGCTCGAGGACGGCCGCACCCTCTCCGACTACAACATCCAGAAGGAGAGCACCCTCCACCTCGTCCTTCGTCTCCGTGGTGGCATGCAAATCTGTAAGTTTAGCATTTACGCCTCGCCACCCACCCACCAACCAGAAACAACAAAACTAACACTTTACCGTAGTCGTGAAAACTCTGACCGGCAAGACCATCACTCTTGAGGTCGAATCCAGCGACACCATCGACAACGTCAAGACCAAGATCCAGGACAAGGAGGGCATCCCTCCAGACCAGCAACGTCTCATCTTTGCAGGAAAACAGCTCGAGGACGGCCGGACCCTCTCGGACTACAACATCCAAAAGGAATCAACTCTCCACCTTGTCCTTCGTCTGCGTGGAGGCATGCAGATCTTCGTCAAGACACTGACGGGCAAAACTATCACTCTGGAAGTAGAATCCAGCGACACGATAGACAACGTCAAGACAAAGATCCAGGACAAGGAAGGTATTCCGCCAGACCAGCAGCGTCTCATCTTTGCTGGAAAACAGCTTGAGGACGGCCGGACGCTGTCCGATTATAACATCCAGAAGGAGAGCACGTTGCATTTGGTGCTGCGGTTGCGAGGCGGTAACTAGATGATGGGTGTTCGACGACGGGTGTTTGTTACGACCTTTTCTTACTTCTTGGGATGAGCTGCTTTGTTTTTCAACTTAACTACACCGGTTTTTTAACTATGGCGTTGGGGGAACGGATGATGATGCTTTTACCTAAACTCTCTTGCTCGACTGATTCTGGGACTGGCACGTCCGTTCTTTTACGCTTCCTAAAGTACTTCTAGATAAATCTAGTTTACCCCTAAACACACCTCAATAAAGCTCATTTGAAGCATCTGTTTGTTGTTCTGCGCTGGTAGAATGGCTAGTTATAGATAAGCGTCGATGGATCGAAAGGCTCCATGGTTCGGAACATCGGGGCTTGGTACCCTTAAATGCTTCCAATGCTTCCAATACTCTATGCTAAACCTACAGTTATATAGATAGTCCTTCAAATCTCAAATACATCTTAGAACTTTCAAACCATTCAACCCTTACTCCCATATACCTTACTCCATTCAACTTTCACCCTCTAAATCAACATCCTAACGATCACTCTGCTCTCTTGCTCTTCTGCCGGGGTCCTTCGCAGCCTAGTTATGCAGTCGTTGGTCGGAATGAATATACCCTGTCTCAATCTAGGCAGCAACACCCCCCTGGCTGGCCTTTCTCGTTCCATTGGCTTATAGACCTGTACGGCTCTGTTGGATATATGACTACAAAGCAGAGAGGGGTAGCCATCTCAGGTCTATAAAAAGGCAGTGAATTCCCATCTCCCTCCCTCCCTTTCTCTCTATCTTCTTTATCTCAAGCCATCTCGAAGAACCCGAAATCATATATATACTGCCCTGAAAGCTCAAACCCAAGCAAAAACTTTGCGTAAGGAACCACTCCAAAGAATAATATGATAGAATACTAATGGAAAGTGAAAGAAAAATGTCCTCATCCATGACCGAAGATATCAAAGCGGAGCTTCAAATGAGGCTCGTCGAGCAGAAGCAGCTCGAGGAGGAGGCTGTTAGAATCGAAGCGTTCATGGAGACCATCCGGAGAAACATCGCGGCCTTGGAGTTGATGTCCTCCAGTGCCCGAAATGCGCGGGGAGAGCGAGACCGATACGCTACGATGTCTCCTCAGGAGGAGCTGGCACATTACGAGCAGGAACTGGATGATGTCAGACAAAGGATTGAAGCCCTGCAGGCCGCTATCGATTTGTTAGAACGGCAACTCTAAGGCAGACAAACAAAGTAAGGTCCCTCTCCTCATCGTCGCCGTTTAGCTATGATACAACAGACTATGATACTGACACCAACCAGCGAGCAGGGAACCCAGCAATGAAGTGGGCTCAGTGTGTTTTTGATGTCGAGTTTCTTCCAAATCCTGTAGATAGCTGAATCCTCATCTTCGCCGCTCTTAGACAAGGTGTTAGAATCGTTTCCTTCCGCTGGCTTAAGTACCAGAGGAGCAGCCGGCTGGGTTGGTTCTAATCCTGCCAGTGCTAACTCCTTCTTGTAAGCCTCGAGGTCGGACAGTACTCTCTGCAGTTCTTTTTCCTGTCGTTTACGAACTTTGAGTTTATAGAAACCATCCACCCTTTCTCCACTGTCTGTTCCGTGATATATGTCGTCCAGAAGGTTCCAGTAGACATTGCCAAGGTAGCATGGCTTTAAAAGAGCGTAGGCAATGAACAACTTTTCCGATTTGAGATGCCTGTTCCATAGTTTGACCAGGGGAAGACAAAGTTTCAGCTTCTTATCCGGGTTATAATGTTGGTCTTCCTGCTCTCTTGCGGCTCGCTGAAACTGAGAAACGCATACGTCAAGTACAAGGTGGTAGGGCTTTGTAGTTGCAGCTGGAAGTTCCTGGCCACATATCCAGGACGGTGGAATAAACATTTGCGATGGGACTGTGTGGCTCCATTCCCAATCGATGACGGAGGTGATGTTCAGGTCATCATCCACGAAGATATTGGGAGGTCGAAGATCCCCGTGCATCAGAAGGAATGGTCCATGGTTATCCCTTTCGTCTACCCATTCCATCACAATGCCTTGCGATGCAAATATGCCGTATAGATAGTTCCGTGCATCCGTCTCGTTGAAAACGCTATCTCTCGAATGGTAGAAGTCGTTGAAGACCAATTTCATAACAGTATAGACATAGTCAATCGTGGAACTGTAAGTCTGATGGGCTGGGATTATCTCGGAACCCTTCATGCCACTGAGTTCTTGGTCGTTTAGCTCAATAGTGAGCGGCCGGTTGTGTTCAAAAACCCAATTTTCATCATTGCTGTCCAGCGTGAGGGCACCAATACGATCAAACTGGTGGCGGTGAAGTTGGAGGTATATATCTGCAAGCTGGCCGTAAAGATACAGCTCCTGCTCTTTAGGAAGTTTTGATATCCTTCCGTGGAGTGTATTGCCCATGATGTACTCTACGGCCATAAACGGAAGGTTAAGGATGTTATCTCGGTTTATGGAATAATGGTACAGCCGTGGAATAGGAATCGTGGTTTTCTCAGCGATGAACCTATGTAATAGAACAGTACCGTTAGCTACATGTTGACAATAGCTTGAATGCAGGAATGGACATCTTGAAGTTTCCTATCCTTACTTCATTGTTGCTATCTCGCTTCGCAGCTTCTCCTCGGGAAAAGCGAGACGCGGAAGCAAGGGAATTCTGATCATCCATCGTTCGGTCGTCTCCTGCGTTGACGCAGGCTCGGCAGCATTGGGAATCTGCTCTGTAAACACAATGGGAAAGCAGACATTATAGCTCCCTTTCTTCGGGTCTGAGAAGATTTTACATGATTTTTTCTCAGGGTGCAAGGAGGAGGCCAACTCGCAGATTAGAGATGGCTCGATTGAGTCGATGAACTCTTTGACTTTCTTCTCGAGTATGTGGCTGGTGAGCTGGTCCATCGTACCAGCGAAAGAGTGACAGACAGTTCCTGTAGCGAGCAGCCGGTAAAGTGTTTGCCTGGAGCAGCGGATGAGCGGAGCTGCCGTCGTTAAACCTTATAGTTAAGCGCCAGGCGCCGAGACGAACTAGGCTAGGCGCCAACACAAATGAACTAGTTAGTCAACAGCTACCAAGCTATCTCAAACTCGTTATCAGCAAAGCTGCTGGAATATACCAGCTTCATGAGTCCAACGAAGCCGAACAGGCCTTAGTGATTGGCTTATCGAGTGCAGAGTGAGGGAATTACCTGCGGTACTGTGGGCCTAGAGGACATCACTGGGCGGTACGGCGGTAGTTATGCCCTCCTACTTCTACCACCTCATTCTCGAAGTGCTATCCCACCCCCAGGCCAGCGCTGCGCATACACCTTCAAAGGACGCACAAAGACATCCGTGTTCCGACGCCTCTTTCGAAGAATACGCTTTAAAGCTCAAATCCCTGCGTGAATCTGTACGGCCGTTTCGTAGGAAGAAGGCCAAACCTGCGCCGAACGTTGCCACCGATCTTGCGAACCACCTAGCTACCACATCCCTACAAGACACGGAGATACATACAGATCACGATCCCCGAACAGACACTCTCTCCATACAGGGCGTCGATATGGTTCATAACGAGATATCCAAAGGTATAGGGTCGAATGTTATTAGCGGCTTAGCTACGAAGGGCAAATATGTCCCTCTTGATCTGGGTTTGACGGATAGCGTGTATGGGATTGTTCATCTTTACCGTGATGCAGAGGAAACGCCTTCGCTAGGCCAGGATAATCATGACCAGGATCTGTTCTATCTGCAGGGTGTAGGGTCTTCTTCACATGCGCCTGCTTCGAACCATCCATCTGCGCCTGGTCTTGCCCATGCATCAGGTTCTGGAGCCGCAAGTGGGCCCGCGGAAGAAACGCTTTCGTTGGAAGATTGTACAACGTTATGTATTCTTGCAGTACCGTCATACCTGTCCCCCTCTGATTTTTTGGGGTATGTGGGTGAACAGACGATGGAGGACGTTAGTCATTTTCGAATGGTGAAGACTGCGAGGGCAAATAGATATATGGTTTTAATGAAGTTTCGGAGTGGGAAAAAGGCCAAGGAATGGCAGAATACTTGGAACGGGAAGCTATTTAATAGCATGGAGGTATCTTTTTTTGTGCTCTTACTTTATTTTGAAATGATGCCCTGCTGACTTGCTATTATAGCCTGAAGCTTGCCATGTGGTATTTGTCAAAGACGTGGAGATACAGGTTAGTTCTTCTGCAGCAGAGTCAAAGTTCCCCGATATGAAGAACGATCCGTTTCCCTTTTCGGATGCACCTTCGACAATGTCGAGTAAACCGCTAGCTCCACCTACACCATCGTTGATAGAATTGCCTACTTGTCCTGTATGCCTCGAGCGTATGGACGAGACATCAGGTTTACTTACGATTCTCTGCCAGCATGTTTTTCACTGCACTTGTCTACAGAGATGGAAAGGAAGTGGGTGCCCGGTCTGTCGGTATACGCAGGACGATCTAGGGAAGCGGAATGTCAACTTTGCCATGGATGAGGGACCGAGCGAGTGTAGCGTCTGTCATTCAGAAGTTAATCTCTGGATATGTCTGATATGCGGCAACATCGGGTGTGGGCGGTACGATGGAGCGCACGCCTTCGATCACTACAAGGAAACATCCCACTCGTTCGCCATGGATCTCACCTCCCAGCGTGTCTGGGATTACCTAGGAGACGGCTATGTCCACCGTATCATCCAGGGTAAATCAGATGGCAAGCTCCTAGAACTTCCAGCCAGGGGAGACAGCGCGCTCGATCCTCCAGACTGGAGCGACGCCGTACCGCGAGAAAAATTCGAAAACATCAGTGTCGAGTATACCCACCTACTCACAAGCCAACTTGAGAGCCAGCGCGTTTACTTTGAAGAGCAAGTTGAGCGTGCCGCAGATAAAGCTTCCAAGGCCAGCGCAAGCGCCATATCCGCCCAGGAGGCAGCAGAACGGCTTGCCAGAGATATGGAGAAGCTACAGTCGCAGTATGATAGTTTAACTCGAGAAACCATCCCGTCTCTGGAGCGTGATAAGGCGCGTGCCGAGCGCCGAGCAGAAAAGTTTGAGTCCATGTCTCGGACGATGGAGAAGCAGTGGCGTGAAGAGAAGACGATGAATGCCAGCTTAATGGAGCGAGTAGAGTTTCTTGATGCAGAGGTGTCCAAACTGAAGGCCGCAAACGAGGATCTGGCAGAGCAGAATCGGGATCTTACATTCTTCATTAGCGGGACTGAACGGTTGAAGAACCAAGGCGAAGATGTTGTGGAGGGAACAGTCAGCGTTCCAGATCCCCCGACATCAAGTTCGAAGCGGAAGGGAAAACGCAAGGCAAAGAAGTAGATCAGGCATATTTCTTCACCTGATTGACGCTTCACTGTGTGCTTACTCGGCGATCAGACCCCGATTATCCTCCCGATGACACTAGATCTCACATATCGATCAGCGAACTAGGCTGGCTCTGGCGAAGCTCCTGTTCCGAAAACAGCTACTTGTCATGTGCTGCCTGGCAGGGATGGGGCTAACGAGTATCTTTTTTGAAATGAACAGCACATTTAACGCCTGTATTATACTGTATGCTACGTGGACGGACGACATGAACGTGTATACGAGATACGATATTAACGGAAGCACATGGAAAAAGTGCAAAATGGGGATACCGGCAAGTCAGCTCTATCCATGGTGCAAACGCCGAGGATCATGTCCAATGGGAACGACCGGGCGAAACGAAGCGATGAAGCAATGCAAATCCCACGCAGTTTATTTTGGCTCCGAGGAGAAGAAGGATAATTGATCATCGGCAAGGAAGCAGAGTATAGCATTTAGTTATTTGAATAAACAAACACAAACTATGCATGAGCATCTGTGACGAAAATGGAGATGCCAAACATATGCGCCCATTGCAAGTAACTATAATTCCATGCCCTTTCCGAGTTTGCCGATATTAAATCAATTGGGTATGAAACGTCTTTCCCGCCTAGCCAATGCAATAACGATATAGCTAAGTAACTAGTTAGATGTGATAAAGTGCAGAAACGTTCGTATAGATGTAGCTGCAGCATCACATGCCCCTACAGAGCCTTTCCGCTCTGGCTTGACGAATGAACGACACGGAACACCAGTTCCCGCAACCGCCTATACGCTCATCCTCGCTTCAACGGGAAGAGAACAAGCAATTCATGGTTTCGGGGGCTAGCTAGCTAGCTATATAATTAGCTGGGAGGGTCGGTTGTCGGGTTGTTGTGGCATGCTGTGAGTTGGTGAAGCTGGCGGTGCGCGGGCCCCCTCTATGTTTGAGATGTGCGCCACATCGGAGCTTAGAAGGGCCGGAATTTAGAAACTTCATCTGGAATCCCCGATACCGGTGTTCGGATTCCGCCCAATGTGCAAGGGTGCATTGACGATAGGATATGTTGCCGGAAAGGCGGAGGAAGAAAGGGAGTATGGGGTATGGGTTTCTGCTGCATGTATCCATGTCCAACTAACTCAGGAGGATTGGAAATATATCTAAACGTTGGTCTATAAGCGGATTGTCGTGGGACAAGGATAGCGTGGCCTTTGTGCGATGTAATGTCTTAGGAAGCTTGTTCATGGGACACAAGCCCGGAGCATCCTCTGCGCTGTTGCATCTCCCGTTCTGCCTGGTTGTTGCTGTTTTGTATCTAGCTCCCGTGTTTGGGAAATATGAGCTTTCCTTCACCGCTCTCCGCTGCGGGTGAGCTATTCCTTTTGTCGGTTCCTGGTCTTGAGGTATCGCATCCAGCCTGCTGCCATTGGCTACTATTGCAGGAACACCCGCAGCGCTGTATAGTTGCTTTTTCTTTGCTCTCAACAGCATCTGTCTCCTTCTGCTTTAACGGAACATGCTGCGGCTTTCTTCTCTACCTAGCTTCCTAGTCCTATGCACTGTGTTCCCCGGCAGCACATCTGTCTCCCTCGCACTCCGCAGACCGACCGCAGACCTCCGAGAGCCGACCACCGAGGAACTGCCGTCCATCCCGTCCAGCGTTCGGCTGCGGCGGAACAAGCGAGCGGCTGAGCGCGCCAAGCGGTCGGAATTTCTTGGCTAAAACGTGATAAGGCCCATGCGCTCCGCCAAGGTTGGCGCAATGCACGGAATGCCCCACTTGCATTTGTTCTATTGGTTAATATTAAGGAAGGCTGGGCGGGCGCTCACGTGGCTATACACTAAACCAATGGGAGTGCAGAGAGAGAGCGTGGCGGGCCAAGCCTTTCCGGCCGCGTGCAGAGGAAGGAACGTCCTTTATTTATGAAGCAGCGCTTTTATATGCATCGTTCCACCGGTATAATCCCTGCGCTTAGTCGCTGGCTTGCTTATTCCGCGCGTTTCTCGGATCTGGGGGATTGGAAGGAAGATGTGATAAGGCAGCCCATCCGGTTTACTGGAAAGCCTAAATCACAGTTTTCTCACTTTGGAAAAAAAGCCTTTCCGATGGGGGCTCGCAGCATCCTGAGGAGATATCGGTATCCCATCTGTCTGCACTCCGAAATCACAAGGAACAATATATATCATGGCTCTCAAGAACCCTGAACGCCAAGCGGCCTCTCTATCAGAAGAGCCTTTCTCCTGGGAAGCTCCTGGGCCCAGAGCGAAAGTCAGTCCGGCATGTGCAGCGCCCTGATAGGATCTTGCCGCTGGCTCGACCCACAGCGTCCTTGGTCGCCGCCCAGCACCCTCGGAGCTCGACATTGGCAGGCAAAGTAAGCCAGGCTTTCTGACGTCACAGCGTACCGAACTTGGCCCGCCGTATCTGAGGTTTTCTTGGCAGATACACGGTTCCGAGGAGGGAGCGGGCGGGACCTGGATATATAAAGTCCGGCGTATCCCCCGCATCAATCAAGCTTCTTCGCCGTGAGAAGTATATCTGTTTGCTATAACTATACCAAGAACCCCCCCAGGAGAGGTGTATTCGATCGTTTTGTCTACAACTATTGCACTGTTCAAGGTATATATCTTTGGACTCCACTTCCCGCCCTTATAAACACAGCCTCATAACAAAGGATACCTGCCCCGGCAAAGAACGAAGGGAGTACGCGACGTTTCGTGATGCCTTCCAAGAAGGATGGCATAAATCAAGAGTACGAGCAGCATCCCTTTCTGCTCTCTATCGACCGTCTCGCCCAGCAGCTCGATACCAACATCGACACCGGTCTGAGTGATGCAAAGGTCGGCCAGCTTCAAGAAAAGTATGGCGCCAATCGGCTGTCTGGGGAGGGGGGTGTCAAATGGTACACCCTTCTCGGAAAGCAGATATCAAATGCTATGATTCTAGTAAGTTCGTTACCTTCCCCTTATCCCTTCGCCCATCTAGACTAGATATCTTCGTGGTGTTGTAAGCATCCAATGAATCAAATATGTATGGTAGAATCATACTTAAAACATTGGTTAAGCGTGACAATTTTGATATGATATCATTTCTTCAACCTACATGGCGGGAAACCAAATAGTAACAATATTTCTTTCTCTAGGTGCTTGTACTAGCAATGGCACTTTCATACGGTGTCTCCGATTATATTGAAGGCGGTGTCATCACTGCTGTTATTGTCATCAACGTCCTCATCGGTTTTTATCAGGAGTTTAAAGCTGAGAAGAAAATGGACTCTCTGCGGTCCCTCTCCTCTCCCTCCGCAAACGTCATCAGAAACGGCAACGCCATCACCGTTCCATCAGGAGAAGTCGTTCCAGGAGATGTTGTTCAGATAAAAACTGGAGATACTGTTCCTGCCGACTTGAGGCTCTTTGAAGCCATGAACCTTGAATGTGATGAAAAGATTTTGACTGGAGAGGCCGCCCCCGTTGCCAAAGATACCGAGTTCGAAGCCAACGGTGATGAGGTGACTGTAGGTGTTGGAGACCGCCTCAATATGGCCTACTCTTCCTCCACCGTAACCAAAGGCCGTGGTCGTGGAATAATCGTCTTTACCGGAATGTATACGGAAATTGGCAAGATAGCACAGTCTATGCAAGGGAAAAAGAGGAAAGCCGGCCGCTCCATGTCTTCCAAGCACGGCACCTTCCAGCCAGTCAAGGGAGGTGCTCTGCGTATCTGGGATGCGATTGGAAAGTTCCTCGGCTTGACTGAGGGGACTCCCCTGCAGATTAAATTGAGTAAACTTGCCTATTCCCTCTTTGGATGTGCCATCTTGCTTGCTATCATTGTCTTTGGAGTTAACAAGTTCAACGTAACGGATGAAGTCGCTATCTATGCCATCTCGACTGGTAAGTAAACCTGTATATCATTCGGTATCTATATGCTTCGGCTTTAACTAACTGCTGAAACAGGAATTGCCATTATTCCCGAATCACTTATTGCCGTCCTTACAATCACAATGGTGGTTGGTATGACCCAGATGCGAAAGCGACGAGTGGTCGTTCGGCAACTTAGTGCTCTCGAGGCTCTAGGAGGTGTTACCAACATTTGCTCAGATAAAACAGGAACTTTGACCCAGGGACAAATGGTAACACGTAAAGCGTGGCTACCTGGCGTGGGAATCTACTCCCTAACCAAGTCCAACGATGCTACTAACCCAACCCGTGGAACTATCACTCTCGGAAAGTCACCAGCAACCCGACAGGAGGCAGAACAGGAACGCGAGCGCAAACGCTCCGAGCAAGATGCTCTTCGAAGTGCCGCTGGTTTGAAATTTGACGTCCCTGCCGAGAAAGAAGAACGAGACCAACGACGAAAGGAGGAGATTCGTAATGAGAAGCAGGCAGAAGAAGATGACGATGATGAAGGATCTGAAGGCGCAGTCCTCCCAGAGGTTGTCCCTGAATTGGCCGCTTTTCTTGAATCTGCTGCATTGTGCAATCTAGCAACTGTCCGATATGACGAGCCTGCTGGCTCCTGGCAAACAATGGGTGACCCAACTGAAGTTGCCCTGCAAGTGTTTGCCCATAGGTTTGGGTTTGGCAAGAAATCTCTCGAGGCTGAGAATGGATGGAAGCCTCTGGCTGAATACCCCTTTGATAGTACCGTGAAGCGCATGTCTGTCATCTACAAACGTGACCAGGGGAATGGAACTGTTATCTTCACCAAAGGAGCCGTTGAAAGAATCTTGGATCTATGCACCTCTGTTGGATTTGGCGAGAAACGTGAACCCATGACCCCCGAAATGAAGGAACAAGTGCTCGACCAGATGGGATTCCTTGCCGAACAGGGACTACGAGTTCTAGCGATTGCTCAGAAACCCGGCCCTAAGAGCCTCGACAAGAATACCGAAATTCCGAGAGATCAGGTTGAATGTGATCTTACATTGTTGGGATTAGCCGGTTTATACGATCCTCCAAGATTGGAGACCAAGGATGCTGTCAAAGGTATGTACCGACCTTCTTACTCTTATGATTGCACACAGGCTTCGATATGCTAAAATATAAAATATAGAATGTACCATGGCCGGAATTCGTGTCCATATGTTGACTGGTGACCACCCTTCCACCGCAACCGCCATAGCAAAGGAAGTAGGAATCATTCCACGCAACACTGGCACCTTATCTGCAGCAGAATCGGCATCTCTGGTCAAAACTGCCGCCGAGTTCGACGGAATGACTGACCAAGAGATTGATGCTTTGCCTTCCCTACCGCTTGTGATTGCCCGTTGTGCCCCTGACACAAAGACTCGAATGATTGCTGCGCTCCACCGCCGCGGCAGATACTGCGCCATGACAGGAGACGGAGTCAACGATGCACCCTCCCTTCAGGCTGCTGATGTTGGAATTGCCATGGGTATGGGAGGCTCAGATGTTGCAAAATCGGCATCTGACATTGTGCTTACCGATGACAACTTTGCCAGTATTGTTAATGCTATCGAGGAAGGACGTCGCATGTTTGATAATATCCAAAAGTTTATCCTCCATCTTCTAACGTCGAACATTGGCGAGGTAGTTCTTCTGATTATGGGCCTTGGATTCAAGGATCAAAAGGGATTTTCTGTCTTCCCACTTTCACCACTGCAAATCCTATGGATCAACATGTTGACCTCCTCGTTCCCTGCCTTCGGACTAGGCCGTGAAAAGGTATCCGCCGCAGTCATGCATCGTCCTCCACATGATACCAAGAAGGGTGTATTTACCTGGCAGATTGTAGTTGATATGATGGTCTACGGCATCATCATGGGAGCTTGTACATTGCTTACCTTCGTGATAGTGGTCTACGGCGTCGGAAACGGCATGGAAGATCTGGGAATTGATTGTAACCATGCCGCCAGCGATAGCTGCAACGTTGTTTTCCGTGCCAGAGCAGTGGTTTTCGCTGAGCTGACTTGGCTTATTCTCATCTCAGCATGGGAATTCAAGCACCTTCGCAACAGCATGTTCAACCTTGAACCATACCGTGACCACAGCGACGATACTGTTCCTTTCTTCCCCTTCTTCCACGATATTTGGGAGAATCAATTTCTTTTCTGGGCTGTTGTTATCGGAGCCCTCTCGGTTTTCCCAGCTGTCTACATCCCGGGACTGAACACCAAGGTTTTCAAACACCAAGGTATCACTTGGGAATGGGGCCTTGCTTTTGGATCAGTGGTGATATTTGTTCTCGGTATTGAGGCCTGGAAGTTTGTCAAACGACGCACTGGATGGTTTGCAGAGGGCGAAGATTATGGTGATGTCGCAGCCACCGGCTTCCGCAGAAGATGGCCAAGCCACGAACTTGGTCTTCGTCAAGGCTTCTTCACCTTTGCCAAATCTCTTACCAAGGGCAGTGAAAGGAGTATTCCTGTGGGCCCAGAAAGTGGAAGGTCAAGTGTTATGGGCAGAGATAATCACCGTCGACTTGATGATGGCGGAAGAGCGAAGGAAACAGTTTGAGTTTGGCAGCTTTTCTTTTGTTACAAAAAGAATTTAACTCGTATAACTACAAGGGAGGCCTGGTGATTCAGTGAGAAAGACTGGGTGGTATAGATTTGATGAAGATATGATTTGTGGCCCTATCTGACGATATATCAAAGGTGAGTAATAATCAATGAGCAAAGCAAGGGGAAAAGGCCGAGTTGAGCTTTGCCTGAATATATAGTTATGAGTTAATATTCCTCCGAGTTCGAATTTTATCAAGACTTTTATCTTCGATTTCCGACTGCTTAAACGTCCGCTGAGTTTATATCGTCTGTAATGTTATATATTTTGAAATTATTAATAAGAAGAGTATCATAATTGTAATGACTAGATTATTACACAGCACAAGAGCGAAATGTCCAATATATGTTGGAATATGTGCCGTCCAGGCAGAGGTATAGTACATCGTTTTCAGGGGGAGCCACAGTTGGAAATATTGACATCAATAGGAGAGAATCTTTGCTTTTGCTTCTACTGTCCATGCCGAACTAATTCGTGAATTCCGGCTTTTTGGTGTATATTCTCTAGCCCAAATGATCACGCGGGATAAATGGGATCCCGATAGCAGCGATTTCCGTATTCCCCGCATAGATGCGATTATACCAAAGGTCCAAGTCCCAGTCAATCCATTCTGAGATCGCAAGGCAAACATCACCTCCCTCACGCTTCATCCATCGAGCCACAGGGATTTCACACCATTCAGGGCCATCATGAAGCAAATTGCATACCCCAAAGTCCACTAGAACGATTGGTCGAGTACGTTGAGCACATCTAGAGTTGTAGTTGATTATAATATCATCATGACGGTAGAAACCACCCTTAAACCCATGTTTATACATTGTAAGCTCGGTATCTATCATGATCTTCAAAAGTCTTTGACGTTCCTGCTGAGAAAAGTCTCCGGCCCCATGTGATTTTATTGACCGTCCAGGAATATATTCCAGGAGAATCAACCGAACAAGACGATTCGTATCATGGCCGGGAATAGGTAATTCCAGGGTGAATGACCCGTAGAACTTGGGTATGTATTTTCCCTGCAGGGGCTTCAATTGTTTATACACTGCAACTTCATGCGAGTAATCGTAATCACAGCAGTAAAATCTGTCGTATATGTATGAATCATGGTCGTTGTAAAGAGGATCGTAGAATTTTGCAAAAAGAGTCATATTTTTTTGTGGCCCTTGGTTCTTGGTTGGCTGAACATTCAAGATATCGACAAGCCCTACCTGTGACTTCCGATTATCTCGAAATCGAATTTCCCTGGATATTTTCAAATGGACAATCTGATTTCCAACGTGACCCGGAGATGGAGGATGTAACAGACAGCGTTCAGCAGGATGTTTCTGTTGTCTTTCAAAGCGCTTACTGAGCTCAATAACAGGGAGGCCATCGGGTGGAGCTGGAATCGGAGGTGGAGCAGTATGAGAGCGAACAGTAAACTCTTGTCCCGAAAAGTAAGGTAATGGAGGTTTACTGACTCGATTAAGAGTACAATAACTGTCCCTTAATTGAGCACAAAGGTTTACAGGGCTCACCACAACTACGTCTTCGTCCATCTTATAAACTGCCAAAATCCCGTGGCACTTTGTTAGAAGATAATATCAAAAAAAAAGACTGAGCCAAAAGAGTGAGCCAACACTAGTAGCTAGCAGACTGAAGCCGTATATTTAACGAATAACTTCAACCTGGATCACCGATGATCGGTGGCATATTTGGAGATGTTGGGCGTGGCGTCGGGTGCTGACCAATAGAAGCTCACTCAATCCCTTATTCGAAAGTGACGACAAATCCAGCCTATTACAATCGAGTAACTTCTGCTTATATAATTATTTAGAGTTAATTTTGAGCTAAACGCGGCAACGCCAAATTTGTGGACCTTCGGAGAGCCGCATTAGACGCCATAAGCGCATTTAGTCTCAACTCCCCATAGCCGTTTTCATAGTTGAAATTAGGCGGAGAATCCTTAGCTGAGGTGGAATCATATTTTCGCGGTTTATTCGTATTTGGATATAGCGGCAGCAAAGATCCGAAGCGGGATATGTTACCTCCCAAAGCAATTGGGTGTAGATGTGTTTCGGTCACAGACATCAAACTAGCAAGGCCATACGGAAGAGAATGAAAGACTCTCTTTCGATCCACCAGGTGGTGAAACCATTGAAGTGGTAACTTCCGAAGGGGTAGCTACATGTATGACAGAAATCATCT